ACTCTTGTAGGACACTCTTGTGGGACACTCTTCTGGGACACTCTTGTAGGACACTCTTGTAGGACACTCTTGTGGGACACTCTTGTGAGACACTCTTGCGACGTCACTTTCAGGACACTCTTGTAGGAAACTCTTGTGGGACACTCTTGTAGGACACTCTTGTGGGACACCCTTGTGGGACACTCTTGTAGGACACTCTTGTGGGACACTCTTGTCGAACACTCTTAAGGGACACTCTTGTGGGACACTCTTGTGGGACACTCTTGTAGGACACTCTTGTGGGACAGTCTTGTAGGACACTCTTGTGGGACACTCTTGTGGGACACTCTTGTAGGACACTCTTGTGGGATACTCCTGTAGCACACTCTTAAGGGACACTCTTGTGAGACACTCTAGTGGGACACTGTTGCGGGACACTCTTGTGGGACACTTGCAGCTCCCCAGATACTCCGCGTACTAAAGTTGTACTACAAGGTCGCCGCGCACTAAAGTTGCACTACAAAGTCGCCAGTTCTCAGCTTCCAGCTCCACAGATTGCTCCGCGTACTAAAGTTGTACTACCAAGTCACCAGTTCTCATCTTCCAGCTCCCCAGATACTCCGCGTACTAAAGTTGTACTACAAAGTCGCCAGTGCTCGCCTGCATTTCGCGCGCTCGACACGATCTCCGCAGAGGGTTGCGCGGGCAGCCGGCAAATCGCACTCTCGCCTCATTTCGCGCACTCGACACGCACGATCTCCGCAGAGGGTGGTACGGACGAATCGCACTCTCGCCCGCATTTCGCGCGCTCGACACGCACGATCTCCACAAAGGGTTGCGCGTGCATGGGACAAATCGCACTCTCGCCTGCATTTCGCACACTCGACACGCACGATCTCCGCAGAGGGTTGCGCGTCAAGTCTCCAAAACGAGCGCTTCGCACGAGACTTCCTCAAAAACTCACACGTCAAAGTCTGCAAAACGAGCGTTTCGCACGAGACTTCCTCCAAAAGTCAAGCGGAAACACCCATCGGAGCACACACATCACGCAGCCCTGCCAAGCAGTTTCGCGATTCCAGCCCCTCCAAACAACATCCGCTCACACGCCAATCCCAATGTGACAGCGACATTCAACTCTACCACAACTCACATGCACGATTCCCTGCGCCTGCCACGAATCTTTCCGCGTCCACACGTCTAACGCGGCCAAAGTACTGCGCCTGCCACGAAATGTCACCTCCGTCACACCTCGTAACCTCACGATTCCCTGTGCCACGAGAATCGCACTTCCACGCCTCAAAGCCCGCACAAAGTCCTGCGCCTGCCACGAAAAGTGACAATATCGTCTCATGTGAGCTTCAACAAAATTTGCACCACACCATACGTTTGGAATGATTTCGACCCGTTCTGAGCACACTCCCATCCACCAAAATCGCCATTTCAGCTGAGACTTGTCACGAAAACCGAGCTTCGATGCCACACCCTGAAACGCAAATCCCAATGGCACTGCCACATCCAACACCCCAAAAACACGACCCTCCAAATGCTAATCCCAATGGAACTGCGCAGCAATCTGCGGATCTCACAAAACGCTGCGCCTGTGCAGCGAAATGCATCACGTTTCTTGCGCGACATGTTATTGTCATGCAAATCACAATGGAATAGCGGCGCAAACTGATACATCCATGCAAAGTCACTTGCAAAAGCTTCCCCCAATGGCAGCGAATTTGAGACGCGACGACGCAAGCCATGCAAACACAGCTCCAACCCCAGACCCCCAACTATAAACGGGAACCCTTCGCTACGCATTCAGGAAAAAACATGCAGAAAAGATCAAACCCGTATACCGTATAATACAGATGCACGTGTTTGCTTCGTTGTGCTAAGGTAGGACTCAACTAATATAGTGGGTTACTTCATCCTGGGCCAACGTTACATGATAGAGTGATATGCTTCAATCCAGGGCGCTCAAATCATTTCACTGCATTTCACTGCACTCCATCAACCAGTTCAAAACCAGGTTCACCTACAAGCCTTAGTACCTCGCGTTTCCAATCCTCATATCGCTCATATCTGCGCCCTGCCTGGCCTTCTGCCAAATGCGTCGATGGCTCAAGAAGCATCCAATCATGCCCTTGGTGCAAAGCCTCGGGCGCAGAAGCCGCCCCTTTTGGCAACACCCCTCGGCGCATATGCCACCTCTCATCCTACAAGAGGCCCTCCTGGCGCATCTCAGGTTTGGCCTGGCCTTGGTACGGTGCACATTGCAAATGAATTGGGCCCAAACCCATGTGGGTAGCACTCGTTTTTGTCACTGCACAATTCTCGCAAGAGACCAAAGCCATGTCACAGTTATGCCCATGACGAGCGGCCACAAGATGAAAAACAACGGCTGCCAAGACTGATAGATGTGCATGATGGAAGCAACACACTCACAACCATTGAGATAGAGGCCTACGCCGCTGCACACTCAAACGCCATCAATCGGCCATGGGTGGCAAAAACCTGTCCAGCTTGGCACTGTACAGCACTACAGGCTCATGTCCTGCATGAGTCTCCTGTAGGGGTTGCCATCTCATTCGGCAGCGTGGCACATTCGCACGTTGAACCTGAGGGATGTTGTTTTCGAGTGGGGCTACCTGTTTGATGATGTTTGATGCAAACAAAAGGACAGCTCGGGGTATTTGATGCCCATGAGGGCTGAGCATTCAAGAAGAAAAAATATCCAGTGAGGTAGTCCAAGGTATTATATAAATAGTTATATGTATTCTATGTTGCAGGATTCTTCTCGCGATTTCTTCTCCAGTTCTTCCCAGCAAAAGAAACAAACAATCCACACCAAATATGTCGCTCTCTCTACCCTCGCGGTGACCTTTGCCCTAAGGCTCGCACACTCAGAAGTCCAATTCACGGACCTTCATCCACTCCGCCACCTCCTCGTCCGTGATGCTTGCGCGGATCTCCTCCAAATCAAGTGAAATGGATCTCCAAATGAGTCAAAACTAGGGCACAACTGGACAGGAAACCCTCTCCATGCCCAACTAGATAGGTGAATTCTTTTAGGGATTCATGTTGGCCCGGTCCAATCTTGCAAATCCTTCATCGAGAGACCGTGTCAGCTCCGTACATTTTAGATGTTCCTTTGTTCTTAGATTCAGCGCTTGACAAACTTCAGGGCCAAAATGAACATTCAGAAGAACTTGTGCTCAAAAAAATCTTGAAACAGCAAAACTAGAGACAATCTATGAAATGGAGTGGGCATGGTGGGTGGGTTTCTCCCTTAACAGGTGGAGACAAGGGCGGATGCTGAATGCTGGAGCCTTCATGCACCGCATGTTCGCCATCGCAAGAGTGTTCGGGCACACTGGTTTTTGCATAGACACAAAGGCCCTTGGCAGCAGCTCCAAACAGTTATGTATATGTGAATTATAATCATATGCAATCATAGTATATATATAATGGTTTCTTTCTCTTTATATTCCCTTTTTGTGATGAACATTTGCACGTGTTTTCCAAGTTTATGTGGATTCCAGCTGCTTTCCAAACAAGCGCATGGTTCCTATAGATAATTCCCTGGTGTGGATGCGGATGTAAAATTGCCGGAAACCCTAAAGAGTCTATGAAATGACCAGCCAAATCTGGACAATTCCAAACGGATATCACTCCTCCAGCATGCCCTTAAATAATCCATTCTCTATTCCTTTCTTGTCCCACTAATGTCCCCTATAGCATGGGGATCACACCGGGCATTCTATAGGATACACGGATCGGCATTTGGTCTTTGATGGTCTTTGTAGCAGGTGTGGTAATGACCCTGAATATGACCCTTTGTACACAGCCTGGTGTTCTCGACGGTGCTTCAGTTCTCCCGTCCTGATGTTTCTTCACCATCTGCTTTAGCACCTCAATAAGCTTCTTCTTGACCTGTTGAAAGCTTTCTCCGAAATTGGGATTCTCCACGTGGATTCTCCAGCAAGCATTGGAGCTCAACCAAGCTTAGCCTCAACCAAAGGGTTTCCTTCAAAACCATCATTAAGCATTGCAATTTGGTGATTTGTTGTTTGATTTGATTGCTCAATGATCTCGATGCTGCAACTCTCATTGGACGCGGGTGGTTGCCGCACAATATCAACATGTGACAACAAACCTCTAATATACAAAGCAACTTCATGGTCCACCTTGATCTTCACAGTGCCTCGAACACAACATGGGGAAGTGGAATAAAGCCGGTTGGTGTTGACAATCTGCCAAAAAGGCCCAAGCCCAAGCCTGTCACTTCCTATGCAAAAAACAGGTTCTTCAGTGTGTCAAACCATCGGATTGACACCGGCCTGGCCAGCACTCCAATAGTCTTCGCCTTGACCGCTTCCGTACTGCTCCTAGCAAGAGAGTAGCTTGGAGCAATGGTTTCTGGGCTTCTTCTCAGGAACAACTGATCTACGATTCTAGGTAGGACACAAATCTAAATTTGTCCATGCTTGCAGGACCTTTGGCACAGTAGCAAACATAATGCAGGCCGCAGGCTCCTCGATCTTTTGTAGCTCCGCATCATCGTCCAAGAAGAATCTTAGCCACCTGTGGTGTGCATGTCAGAACCAGCTGCTATTGTGACAAAGAGCATATGTTCATTGCATAAGTTGCATAACTCCCGATGTCCCGCCCCCAGCTGGCCAAATCATAACCATATCATATCATATCCGAAAATCACGCCTGGCACCTCACGAAAAAAGAGAACCATAGGCTATGAGGGCTCCAAATCTGAGCAACATGTCTTCTTGCGCCATTGGCTCATCTTGACTCTTGACCATGGATATCCCTGTACTTATGGGCTTCGATTGAACACATCGCATGGTCCAAAACCAACTGGTTGAAGATGAATAGACGAGGTGCTGGTAGGACACATCAGCATCCAAGTCGGCACCTTTCTCTCGCTGCTCTTTCGCAGTCTGCCGACCACCTGCGGGTCGTCTTTAGGAGACAGGGACGGGCCAAGCTGGACAAGTCTGTGATGGACATGGCAGGAAAGCATGACACCGACCCTTGTTGATTTTCTGGGTCTCTCCTCCTTTTTGCAACTACCTACGGCTCATCTACGTGTTTGGGGTGTGAGCTCGGGGGGGGCACCCAAGCTTGGGATTGGATTGCGGAAGCAAGCACACCAAAAGTGAAAACAGCCGAAGAACAGGCTCACTGCCACCAATGAATACTATGTCAGTCGGTTCAGGATACTATATTCACTATACTATTGAAGGCCATTGCTATTAGGTTGGAGGCCATCGCTATTATATTCTATGGATATCTATGGATCTATTTTGCCAACAAACTCGGGTCCAAGTGCTTCCAACAAATATGACAAGCATCCGATGCGGCCGACTTTGCTGCTGCCACCCTGTGGCTTAGCTCAAGCAAGCAGGCCATCTTGTGGCTTAGCTCTCGGGGTGCAACCGACCAGGTCTCTCAGGGAAAACCAATCCAACTGCAAAACCTCAATGGACTCCCAGGATAAAACAGGAACCCACATGCAATACCTTTGCATATCAACTCTTCAATCTTCAATCCTGCTTAAGTGTCACCTTGCTGCTCTTTGGGTGTTGGCATCCTGGGAGTCATGAAACTGGATTAAAACAATCAATCCAGGCATTGGGTGACTGGCATCACTCAGGCGAAGTAAGTGTTGGCGATCTTGTTGTTCCTGGGGCACGGCGACGAGCAGCTACTGAGTCCTACTGGTCGCCTGTTGGTGGGATGTTCCCTTGAAGTGGTTGATGAGTGTAGTTTAGGGACAATTCAGGATAATCCGTATACATGGACACCATGCAGTGTCGAAACATGGCGCATTTGTGCACTAGAGTTGACATTTGCCCAGGAAATTGGCATCCAAGATGCACGTCCATCTTGTAATCATCTGAGGCAAAATACTTCTGCAACGTGGGCAAGGCCTTGAAGGCCTCGTAGAAGGCCTCCAAAAAAGCTCGATAAGTATATAAGGGATCCAAACTCCAAACCAACAGATTTAAAGGTTTCGCCGTTGCAGTTGTAGACAGTCACTTGGACAACGGTATAGCAAGCCATGCAAAATATGTTCTATACTGTATACAGTGTTTCTAACCGATGTGGGCCAACTGACAACGCTGTTTCTTGCACATCATGTGCACACCTGTTACCAGGACCCAATCCGGGGTTTCTCCACACACCCCCTGTATGCGAACTCAACAACTAATTAATAGAAAACAACTGGTCAGGAGTCAGGATCCCTGACAAGGATTGAGAAGGAACATCTCTTTGCATCTATCTAATCCGTCCATCCGGTTTGTGCCTTGCACTTGGGGAACTTCTCGAAGATGTCAGGGGCGCCAATGCGCTCCGCGAGCATCTTGTGTTGGTCCAACCTTGCAGCACAGCAAGAAGGGATGATGCATCTTCAATGGCAAATTGAAACAAGTACAACAACCGATTCTCGCAATGTTGGCAACCGATGAGCATGGCCATGCAACATTGGGTGATGGGTGGTCTCCTGCCGATGTTGAACGATCATCACATGACTACACTCTTCATTCCCGATGTTTTCTTGTTCTAATGATGATGCCTTGAATTGAAGGACGTGAGGCCTTCACTGCAAAATTGTCCTTTAAAGCAAGCACCCCATCAAGCTGTAAAAACACTTCAGTTCACTTCAACACCGCACCAAAATGGACATTAGTCGCAACAACCCAACTTGGACTCACCTGAAAGTTTCCTTAGCCCAAATGGGTATGGCCCCAACAAAGTTGTTTTATCCAAACCAAATGGAAACCGAAAGCAAGCACGCAGGGTCTGTGTGATCACTCGCTCCAAGGTACATCTCCCAAATATGGAAGTCTGCCACTCCAGGCCCATCAGCTAGGACAAACCACTTTCCGCCACTGGCGTTGCCCTGGCACCAATCAACAGAACTTGTTGAACCTTCGACCTTCAACAGGTTTTTTCTGGTCGGGTTTCCACCTGGACATATGGAGCATCATCAAGCGGGGAACAACCGACATTTGACACGTCAACCTGCTTACAACAGCAAAAAGGGTCTCCTTCGTATTCTTGGTCGAACTGATGAAATCCTACGTATTCTATGCGTGAATTCTAGTTGCTAGCTACTAGGTGGTCGGTAGCAGCCACGGTCGGGTCATTTGCCACGGTCAAAAAAAAGATCCGGCATGAGATGGGGTGAATTAGGGGTCATTCTTCAGGGAGTTCTAATGTCTGACATTGATCGAGCACATACAGTACATAATGTCTGACATTCATCGAGCACATACAGTACATACATGTCACACGTAGGCCTCTCTGTGCTCCACACTTTGACATTGGTTTTCAGTTAGCTCAATTCCCAGGTCGAAAGTGGTGAGGGAACGGCAAGGCGAAAAGGTCGGCGAGAACTGTATGGTTGAACAATGTTTGCAATCTGACGCACAAGCGCGGCAAGTCAGCGGTGGGGAAAAAGAAAAAGGTTTGGGGGACGTAGCATGAGCCACCATGGAATCAAAAAAGAAGGATTGGAACAGCGTACTCAACCGTTGAAGCAGGTACAGGTGGATGATCAGTCCACCCCTCCCTCGTCATACCGTAGCTTCATTGCGTTCGGTGGGTGTGATGAGCCGCACGCCCCTGCTTTGAAAACATGGAAAGCCCTTAGGGACAGGGTTTGACACACACACACACGGTGCCGCTTTGCGGCGCTCGTGCGAACGACCTGAATAGGTACCTAAAAAGCCTTAGAAACAAAAGAAAGAAACACAGAAAGAGCAGCGCTAAGAGGGCAAGAGAGAAAGGTAGGAGTAGAAAAAAGTGAATACTTAGCCCTTGACTGGGGTAGGGAAACGAACCTCAACAGCAACCTAAAAAGCCTGAGAGAAAGCCCAACAAACGACGAAAAGCGCAAGAAGGAAAGGGGGGGGGGGCAGGGAGGGGGTGTATGTCCATGTGGGTGTACATGTGTGTGTGTGTCTGAATACTTAGCACTCTAGAGTTACTGATTACTTAGCAGAAATGAATTAAGTGCAATAGTTAGGGAGCGGGAATTTAGTCTTAAACCGCCCGGGTAGAGAAGACTAGAAAAGGGACAACAGAGGGAAAGGCACCGACACACAAGTGTGCCGAGTACCATTTCCCTCTGTTACCCTAATTAGGTAGGGAGTAGAACTCGGCGTGGAGGGGGGGGGTTGGGAAACCATGCCTGGCCTCAAGTGGAAATGAATTCCGTTTTTTAGCCCGGCGGCTGTGGTGGCATGTCGTGTAAGCCCGACGGCTTTGTATGCAGTTAATCCAGTGGTGAAAAGAAGTCGGTTAAGAGAATCCAACGAGTGGTGGAAACGAAAAGGCTGTTAGTGAAATTCCTGCATGGCTTCGGCGCCCCTGTCACGGGGATCACACCCAGCACACAAGTGGGACGGCTGAGCGGTTCACACTTTGACATTGGTTTTCAGTTAGCTCAATTCCATTGGTTTTCAGTTAGCTCAATTCCCAGGTCGAAAGTGGTGAGGGAACGGCAAGGCGGAAAGGTCGGCGAGAACTGTATGGTTGAACAATGTTTGCAGTCTGACGCACAAGCGCGGCAAGTCAGCGGTGGGGAACAAAACAGGTTTGGGGGGACGTAGCATGAACCACCATGGAATCAAAAAAGAAGGATTGGAACAGCGTACTCAACCGTTGAAGCAGGTACAGGTGGATGATCAGTCCACCCCTCCCTCGTCATACCGTAGCTTCATTGCGTACGGTGGGTGTGACGAGCCGTACGCCCCTGCTTTGAAAACATGGAAAGCCCTTAGGGACAGGGTTTGACACACACACACACACACACACTAGTCGAGCCTGATTCATGCATTTACATAGTCACTTGACTAAAGTTGACGTTGAAAACTTAAACATCTACAACAAGTGTTCATCCTCATGCAGTCGAGCACAAGTTCATGTAACAGGGAGCAAAAAGGGCGCAGTTCATCCTCAGCTTGAAAGACCTCAAATCTCAGGACGTTCGGGCGCCTTAAAGCTCAAGATCGCCTCGAACTTTGCAAAGGGTGGGCTGCCAGCCTGTGCGCAAAGCAGCGGCAAACAAGGCCGGGCACGGCCGACTCGTGCTATGGGCCAAATGTAGTGTGCAAAGTGTGACTGTCCCAGCGTCCATGAAGACTTCTAGACTTGGGGCACAAGTCACAAGTGTCTAAATGTCAAGAACTCCGATGACATGGTAGTGAACCTATCCGTTCCATTCACTTTGTGAACATCGTTCTAGGGACAAACAACGTGCTTCAACTCTCGTTAAAGTAGGGACAAAATTAACAAAATCTGACTTTGTCAAATAATACCAGAATGCTTGTTGCGGCTCAGCAATAACAGTCCAGTTTCACCACCAAAGCAAGAGCAACCGACAAGCCCTATTCTGAGAAGGTTGAACCCTCTATATCTCTATTGGCCTATGGTGTGATAAACACCTGAATTCGCTACCCAAACTCCGCAGTCCTTAGATGGGAAATCCCCCGTGCAGCCGGGAAACCACTTGTGCTGCTTTGGCATCAAACTCCTCTTTGTTTCTGCACACATTCCTGAGGTCTCCGCCCTGGAAGTTGTTGTGAAAAGCACCCACCATGCAGGATCAACAAACAGCAGGATATGCCATGTGGTGAAAACACACCATGGAAAAGGAACTTGTCCAAGACTTGTACATTGTACATCCGTTTTGCTCCTACAGGGTCCCACGGTCCTTGCTTTGAATCCACGAAGAACAACTCATGTTATGTCTTTGGTTTGTTTCGTCAGGCACCACTCAACGTGGGCCGCAGCTATCTTTGGCCAGCTTCTTGAAGGGGTACACCATGTCGATCATGCCTGAGTGACATGACTTGGCAAAACAGCACATCACGACTCAAAAATCAACAGTGTGGTATCAAAAACCAATTCGCAAATTAGGCTTAGCGAATTGGCCCTGCGTCATCCCAAAAGCAGCTTTACAGTTTGTGCTGTCCCTTCAGTTGCTTTGAGAAGAATTGAGCTCTCAAACCTTTGCCCCCGAAAAGTGTTCCAGCGCTGAAGCAGGCAAATGGCCATTTCGGACATCGTAGATCTCGGCGAGCAACTCCTCTCAAGTCACAGACCAGGTGGAGTTATATAAGTTGGGCCGGGAGGAAGATGTCGAGAATCAAGGCGCCATGAACCTGCTTTTTGTTTCAGGATGTTTCAGGGGGGTCTTGGTTCATCCATCACTTGACAAATCAACGTTCAACATAACATCGAACCGAGCAAGCGAGCAAGCACATCTACTTCTCCTCTCAACTTAATATGTGGAGTTCAGGCTTTGTAAAGGATTTCTTGCCCCACCTCAACAGTATGTGATGGTATGAGTCTGCTTCATTGGGCAAGTAACGTCTTTGCCAAGGAGAGCTCATTAATCATGAAACTGATTGCTCTGGACAATGCTTGCCTGTGGGCCAGGACACACCCAATTGCGACATGAATTAAGAGTCCATAACTGGTGACCAAATGGAAGCAATAAAACAAACATTGGTCACTCCAAGCGCCTTGGGGACCAAAATGAATCCGGCGGCACCCAGCCAGTGGTTTGTGTAGCCAGAGGCGCTGCCTGCTGCTGCGTACCCAACTAACGCGCCTGCGTTCGGATCTTTTGGGCCTCCGTGGTTCCGTTGAGGCCAAACTTGTCGCCCAAATATGAGAGGATTGCATTCCTGGCAGTTGGACGGAGCTTTGGTCCAAGGATTTCTGCATGGCAACATGCAGCTCCGGAAACATGGAAAAGCGGCTTGAAGGAGATTGGTATGGCACCCTTGCGATACCAGCCCCAGAAGTGGTGCTGGTAGCTAAGATTCCTCCGACAGTGGATTGAAATTGTTGCAGTTCAACTGCCGTCAAGTCGCGTCTGGCAAATGCAGGTCTCTCCATCCACGAGGTACGGCAGGTTGGCCAGAGGGTTCATGGCCAAAATGTCTGGCTTGCGACTTTTGAACCAATCTTCACCTGCAGAGTGATACAGGAGCCCACAAGTAGCAAGTGCAACTGCACACCTATGTTTGGGTGTCATGACCCTTCGTGCACTTCTGTTGCTGAGTTCTTATCACTGAAAAGTTGCCCGCAGTAAGGTTTCGTGTCAAAACATGTTAAAACAAAGAATGCGGGTCCCATGGCTGCCGTGCCCAAGCGAGATAATCGTCACTGGATGCAGGAACGGCACCTCTAGTGTACTGCTTGTCGACATATTTGGCCTCCTTGTACTGCAAAAGCATCCGGAAGACCTTACACCGCCATGTTCAAAAGTGACCAGCTGGAGCATATTTACAGAAAAGCTGCTCTACGCTACATCAGGTCGAACAAAAAGCACATATTTCATATGTCAGAAATGCATCCGTCGTTCGATGACACGTGACAAAGGAGCTCTGTAGGCTTGACCAATTGTTTGTTGTAGTATTTGCAGGTTAAGGTTACTTACTGAAGTAGCCTCATGCCATGCTGACGCGTGCTGACGCATTCCAGATTTCACCTACGTGCTACACCTCGTCCTGACTGGCTCATCAGCTGCTCAGACTGGCTCATCCTCTCCAAGGGGCTGCTCCCAACCCTCGGATCTGCCAGTAGCCGAACTCCATGGGCGCACCCGGCGCCGTGGACCCCGCGTAGGCCATGGAAGGCGAGAGCTGCGTGGTTTACCACGTTCTTCGCGTCAAAAAGGGGCCGGAAGAGGCTGCGGGCTTCAACGCCTTTAATGGGGGGATGGTGGATGAGGTGGGGTCCCCGATGGGGAGACAATGTGAGAAGAAAGTAATGGTCATGATCAATGATTCAAACACATGTACAGTATCGATCAGTATTGAGCATATTGAAACAGAAATTCCATCCACGTGGAAATCACTTGGTGTTGGCACGCAACAGCTGCAGTTATAAGTTATAACCATTCGTGTTGAAAACGCACGAGAGCTGTTCTCCAATTGTATATCCGTGATCTGCCCACAAAGGACTCATTGTGGTGTGGTCGCCATGGATTCCAAAGGTTCACGATCAAAGCTGGGTGGGCTTGGAACAGCAGTAAGCCAATCAAATGGGGGCTTATTGCCAGTTGCCAGTGCCTGTACAGAAGCAAAGAGGGACCATCAAGAATTCAATGAACTATATAAATTCTAAACGTCCAACTGAGAAACAAACCAAAACTGCATGACAGGCATAGCATTAACATCATAAGTTGGGTGTGTCATGGTCTGTATATCATATCAGTGTTTATGATAATATATATATGATACATTAACCTCCCCCCCACAAGTCTATCACAAGTCGATGTGTGCTTGTGAAGGCCTGAGAAAGCATATTTTGTGATCTTCTTTTCGATGTCCTCAGGTGTGTCAGTGAGGAAGATCGCCTCGGGACAGAGTTCGAATAAAAACGAACTGGACGCACGGATCCTGTACTAAAAAAGGGTATCCTTGGACGTGAGTATTGTGAAACCCAGCACATGGCTTAACCAAGTGTCCGAAGGACAAAGAATTTGTTCCAACAACTTTTGTCAAGACTTGTTCATGAGACTTGTTCATGCGCAAGTGATTAAAAACAAATCCGACACAAATTCGAGATTTTGCGCAAATAACGCAAGAATGGCATCCATGCTTCAATTGAAAGATCGACATGTGTCGATGTGTGTGCCATCGGCATAGTGAAAAAACGATCAACTTGGGTAGACTGTTGTGAGTAAAACGTGAAACGTGTTATATACTACTATATAAATCAAAAGCCAAAAAAAAGGAAGGCTTTCTGCGGACATATGTGTGCAAAGGAGAAGACTGGCCTCGGCTAATCAACATCATTCAAATCAGTATGTAAATGTATAAGTCAAAGCATATTTTGATAGGCTGGCAGGACCTATTGCATATCCCAGCTGATGTTATTCGGCTTCACAGCTTCGGGAGCTTAGCATAGCTTAGCTATCTTAGCTGGTCTCGGTCTAGCCCACTAGACCACTGGTCTGGTCAAGGAGCCGAGTTCTCGTCGGAGGCGGCCATCTTGCCTTCTGCACCCGTCAAGGGCGGGAAGAATTTGCAGTGGATCAAGGATGGCTTTCCTTTCAGTGGATGATCCTTCCTCAATTTTCCCGCTGCAGCGGCAGAGCGTATCGCACTGGGTGACTGGAGTCATGATAGTGATGGAAATCATCGTGGTCTTGCCGGCAATCCTGTGCCGTAGCATGTTGAAAAGGAGGAAGCAATATCAACCATCAATGAACATCATGTTTTCTTTCAACCCTCGACAGCTGTCCCAACACAGCTCAGCTTCACCCCGAGACGAAGGTGGGACAATTCCATCCACGTGTGAGGTGAAACAAAAGTCGCGCACCAAAACTCATCAAACCTCTGATGCTTCATGATGGTTCAAGGCAAATTTAACAACAAGCCGGTTTCTGGATAATTCCTGGGACTGTGGAATTCGATTCATTGATCTTCCATGCTAACTAGCGTTCCCAACCATGCCTGCTGGTGTCAGACGAGTCGCGGGACCAGCTTGTGCGCAATATCTCGGGTGACCTTGACTCAAGCGAGTTGAAGTGTTAAAAATAGAATCTTGGAGGTGAAGGATGTGTGAACTAGCCGGGAAGCCTTAAAGCTCTTCTTCAGTGCAGCTACAGTACCCCAAATAAATGAAACGAGATGAATCTTAGGACTGCTTCATGGGATCATCTTGATCTCCGGACCAGTTTTTGCCGGTACCTTCCAGGTGCCGATCTTCCAAAACAGCCGCAACCCATATTCCAAACAAAAATTCATTCGACGGATGCAAACCGTGATACTCTGATTCCCACCACCCATGCCAAGCAACCCTGAAGTATGGATCTTGATCGATGGCACATGGGATCCTGATCGGCAATGCGGTTCGGGCTGCAAACTTACACAGAAACATCATCAAAGCTGTTAACTACGTACGTTTGGCTATTATATAGATTTATATGGGGGAAACGTTCAAACAGCTTCTATGCCTGGGTAGTGGCCTTCTACGTTGTTCAACAATGTTTTGCAAACACATCAGGTATGCCTTGCATCCATCTGACAGGATTTCAGAGCCGCTGGAGTGACCCCCCCAGGCTTAAACCACAAACACCGCTTGGACATCTCATCCTGAGTCATAGCCATGGCACAGGCAAGGCAAATGCTGGTCGCCCTTGAAGGGTACGTTGAAGGAAGATGGGAAAGAAGGCACGGCCTCCGATGAAACGCACAAATATCCATGTATGGATGGACGGGTGGCACATGGCGTTGATCTTGCTGAACTCATCTGTTGAACGAAGTGTGTGTGTGTGTGTGTGTCTGTGTTACCACATACGTGTACACGTCATACATGTGTGTGATCGACAAAACCATACATAGGTTATGTTGCATCATACACATGTCGCGACATTGAGATAGGACCTGTTGGTTGGCATCACATGACCAACCATGGACATTAGGATCATCAGGCATTGGGATCTTAAACAAAAATGTGTGAAACCACCAAACACTTGTTTGGCAGGTACTACATGTCTGCCTGGACCGCAGGAAAGGCAGACTGCCCGATGTTGGACTCACCAACAAAACCAAAGGCCTCGGAGCTGCAAAAGGGAGTCATTGATATCCAAAACAACTCAAATAAATAATCAACAATGATGATCAGCGATGATCAAAAGCAACGCAAGTCTCTAAACCAAATATGATTTGTTCAGTTCAACATCTATCGACATATTTTGCAACATCTCGAAAGCACAAAATATTTGGACCCATGGCATGCAAGAAAAGCAACTGTTACAAGGTCCGCAGCCCAGCTTGATTCGATCGACGAGTGACACCTCTGGCAGTGTTGTAGGTGATGGCTTTCCAGACCCTCACGATGTTCGGGTACATATGTCCAACCTTGCATCAACTTGAGGCCAGGGGTTCGGGCAAAGAGGGATAGCGAAAAAGTAATAAACAAAAGGGCCAAAAGAAGGATGTAGAGGAGGATGTAAAGGGAGGACGTGGAGGAAGGGCCCCAAGTTCGGCATCAACTCGCTAACTGAAACGGATCGTGGTGGAAGGGCTGATGGTCAATATAAACACTTAAACCCTCCCCCTATTGGGACCAAGCCGGAGTCCAACCCAAAGAAGGTGGGCCATGGAATTGATGTATTCACGTGGTAGGCAAATCCGGTCAAAAGCCTAAACCTTATCCAGTTAGCTAATGCCAGGTTTCGTGAATCTTCTAGAGAATTCCGCAGGGCGTTTAAGGTGTCTCAAATCACCTCGGTCAACTGCTGGTAAACAAGCAAAACGGCAACTCCATAGGTTTCTCAAATCAGCTTCACTGAGGATAGGATTGGCTGCTTGTACATTTTTTCTGTAGCGGCCACGCAACCATTGGACCAATAACATGCTACCTCACAAGCGGTCACTTATATGTGCTAATTGTTAATTAATGCAATCGGGCAACGTATTCCAGGTCAGAAAATATGAATGTTTTTTTCTTGTCGAAACCACAGGCAATGATGTCCTTTGCATTCTCAATGGTGAAGCGCTTGTAGACATGCCTTACGAAAGCAACGAAAGCATCAAAGAACGCTGACAATTTGCAATGGCCTCTCTTCCAACGTCTTCCAACATCCAGGTCGGCCAAGGCACAAGTTGTCTCCTTTTTCTGGGTCATACTCACCCTGGCAACAGGCATTCATACAACCTCTTGGATCACGGGTTTTGTGCCTCCGCCCAGTGCTACACTCAGGCCAAACACAGCAGGCCTTCCAAAGGAATTTCTCGTCGTCGGTCATTTGGATCACCAAGGGAACATCAAAAGCTTTTTGGAGCCACCTGAGTGCCATGCGAGCGACCCGCCCATCCATGAGGTGGACCTTCTTCATCCCTCCATCAACTTCACGGCAATTCACAGGGGCTTCGTGACCAAGGGGACGGAGAGATTGCACGACATGTGAGCATCGCGTCACGTTCAGAGTTGCGAGGAGTATATACAACATGTTCTGCAGGGTTGCTGTCCAAGCAGCTGGGTGAACATAAAAGGCAACAAGTGGCCCAAGTGCATGGCCTTAGGAGCAGCGACATACTGCCCGCAGTCCCGTGGCCGGGGGAGGAACGGCATCAACAACAGCCACGTTCAATGACACATCGTTACTTCAAAGACCTTAGCATATCAATATATACACAATTGGATACATACACACACAGCAAGCCACAACCAAATAGATATCTGATATACTCATAACCCAAAAACAATTATATATACAATGTGAGTGTACGTCCTGAGTTCCTTCCTCCGCGCAGGTGGAGTGCATTTTTCAGCAACAGGCAAGGGGTCACTACATCCACTATAATATCTCCAAGTTGCAGCAGAGCTTGGCCCTCGCCCAGTGTAGAGGTAAAAGGGTTTGCCTTTCTCCTCACAAAAAGACACTGAGAAAAAACAAATTGCAAAGGATCAGGATGCCTTCCTCATTTGGGAACTCATCATTTTCCACATCCAAGTGGGGGTTGTCAGAAACTGGTTACAGTTACAGTAACTTAAATCACCTGACTGCGGTTTGAATGCGTGAGGCCTACGTAGCTCACGAGCCATGTATTCTGTGGCAGTCCAGCGGCATCCAGTTTGGCTAAAATTTAGGACCATGGTATGGTGCAAACTCTCAGCCAGGATCCTCAATCCTTGGACCATAAATTCTTGCGGTGCGCTTCGAAGCTGACAGGTATAGGGGATGCTAAACTGCAGCATGCGCTCAGATTTGTTACTAGTAGCTTCTTGCTCCTAGTAGCTTCTTGTTACTACTAGTAAGGCACTTGTTACTAGTAGCGATGCACTTGTTACTAGTCGCTTCTTGTTACTTAGCCACCCAGGGTCCTGCAGCGCGCAAATGGCATCCAGCTCACGATGCGAGAAGAAAATGTTCCGGCGCCTCAGCCCGAATTCACACTCGATGAATCCTAATAGCGAGCGCCTCCAACCTACTAGCTATTAGATTGATCCGGCTCATTCATTCTCTAACTGTTATATACACAACAATTCGTTATCATGCCACGACTCCTTCTATTGACCCCACGCTCTGACATGGCTTCAGCTCCACTACGCAGGTGCATCCGAATGCTTCGGACGGTCCTTTCCAACGGTGTAAATCCCGTCAAAGCGGTTTGTCCAAGTCACAGCCAGCAATGGAGATCGGACACTCGGCCTGGCCAGTGGTTGTCACACCGGTCGTGACCACGACCGGGGAGTCCTGAGTCCCGTTCTGAACGCAATGGATTCAACAATGCAACCCGATAACAGGTATCAGTAATTATGCAGGTTGCAGTACATGTTTTGTTGTATTGGTGCAGTGGCAAAGGAATGTGATTCTTTGGCGGTCAGCATCGTTGGCCTCAACTGCCATACATTGTATTGCCCGGCTAGGTGAATCGTTTGCCTATGTGCCCAAAAACACCCTAACAATTGCGGTTTGAGCTGGTCTCCGCTCCTATTAACACATGCAAGTTGGATGAAAACTACACTTGACATGTTGGCAAGTCTATCCAATGAACCGTGCCCGCGACGGCCGGTCTTAGCCTGAGCCCACCGTGATCTTTCGGATTCGCTCCAGCAAGTCATCTGAGATTTTGGTGGAGCCAAAATCACCTCAAATCGGCGAGAACCAATCCACACCAGAAATGCTCAAATAGTGGTCATGAGTCAATGGCGGGTGGAATTCTTCTAGTTTAGATTCTATGCAAAAAGCTAAGGGATCCAAAGGTGGTGCTGAACACGGGGTTCTATGCTGATTTCAAACACTTTTGAAAGGACAAACCAACACGTTGGCAGCCGGCCAATTCTAGTGCGCATATTTTGGAAGCTCAGCTCTGATCCCTATCCCCTGAGGACCAAGATCGGGATCGAGGTCTCGGCAAAAGAACACAACTGCTGGCCACCAACAAGACCGAAAACAACCCGGCTCCGCCCTCTGAGTTGGTCCTGGTTTAGCATTCTTGAATGCCCTCTTCAGTGCTCGATGCAAAAGAAATGCGGTCAACATGCAGCAAAGTGGCGGATTAATTTCTCATAGTCGATTTTGCCTCAGATCAGCTCATCCTCCTAGAACATCAACGCCATCTGGTCACAAAATCTCAGTGAACCGAACCCCGAACCCCTGAAACACGTGATTGATATACGTTGCCTTTTACCGTGGATCGTACGGGCTTGGTGGATCGTTCGGGCTTCGACTAGAGCAAAGGCCAGCTACGCACACCCTGTTTGAGACGCAGGTTGACGGTAATTAGCGGAGGATAACATAATAGTTAATTATAACAAATATGGATGCCTCCGGTCCAACTCGTGGCGAGGCTGTTGCAAAGAGACCATCAAAACTCGTGGCTCAAAGTCCAACAATGTTGGACAATTCGCCTTGACAACATCCAGCTTGTGTTTTTGTTTACAGGTGCGCGGGAATTTTCTGCAACCCAAATCGCCACAATCGCGGTGCTAGATTGGTGTTTCTGGTGCCGAGCAGCCCTTGACCGACCAAGGATCCACCACCATCTCTCCTTCGGCCTGAGGGGGGGCGCTTTGGCAAGTATGGCAGATGCGTGGCGGTGGTTTCGGCTGCTTCAAAGCACTCCGAAGCCCAAACTTCAAGAACTCTTGCAAATTGGGGGAACTGATCACAACACTGGGGGAAAGCACTGCTTTTTTCTAAGGAGTTTTCGCTTCCACTACTAATGCGATCTCATTGCGGGTCTTCCCTACATACTCTCAACCTTCACTTGATGGAGAGCAGCTTCGATGAACCACGTAATGCGCCGTGCAGTTGGCTGCAAACTTCCACTCTCAAAATATTACCACTTTGGGGCCCTTCTCTGAGACATGCCGGTTCTGTGTGTTCCAGCCTGGCCCTTGGGTCGCTGATGAGGTTTTGCATGGTTTTGCAAAATCAATCAAACTTATACATCTTGAGCTTGTGTCGGGGGCAGCCTACATGACTCGCGTGATGAACCAAGACATACAAACATGCGCCAATTGCGTGACCCCAGTCTTTCACAACATGCCCGAAAGATGTTGCTGCCTTGACCTCCTCTGTGACGCTCTTGGCCGCCTTACTAGCTGGCTCCTCGACATGCTTAGCTCCGGAACCAGCTAAAGATATTCACATGGATGGACAAACAATGTGTTATTGTATAAACCGTACATGTTCAATGAACATGAGAAATTAAAGGGTAAACACAGGTCACAGGCTGCCCCAAGAAGCCGCAGCCGCAATCTCTTGGTTGGGAGCTTCCATCAAAAGTGTTTTGAACAACTTCGCTTGGAGAGGCAAGGTCCCTACATCGAATAGGTCCCTACATCGAAATGCTTTGGTTGCTGGCTCATTCCCCAAAAAAAATCAGGCCAATGAAACTCCTGGGTTTATCCCAACGGGACACAAACATATGTAGTCATCGTGACCATTTGAGGCATCACTAACCTCTACTTATACCCCCCAACCTAGGTTGGCGCAGAAATCGTTTATCGACAGTCTGCAACTCCTCCTTAGCTTCATCTTTCACATCCACGCCCAGGACTTCCACACCTTAGGCCACTTAAACTCGCGTGTTGCCGAACCACCTCCAAAGTACCTACCCCTGTTCAAAGGGGGGAAGGTAGACTCTGCATGCACCGAAGAGATCCTCATTGGCTGAAGGGGTCCTCATTGCCTGAGACAATCACCTTGGTCCTTTGGGGCGTCATGGTGGCTCACGGTGGCAACCCAAGATAGCAACAACAGCAGCCAGGGAGAGAAAAAACAAAAACCAAAGGAACCTGAAGTCCGTTTTCGATCCAAACACATGGATCCAAATAGGTTGGTTCCCAGATTCCTGTGTCAAGATTGGGGTCACATACATGTAGACCGTCAGAAAACCAAGTGGGTGGCCTCTTCCTTGCGTTCACCCAGCGTAGGTTTTATGAGGCTTTGATCCACACAGGCCAATGGGGTTTGGCACAAAATACTGAGCTTTATCATGTAAAAGTGAAGGTAACACAATTCATGTACCATTTGGATCCGCACGCATTGGAACCTATGCTGAATGGGTCCAGCCACGGACGCTCTTGTCGGTCAAGGCTTTGGCCTCGTCCTCAGTTCAACCAGAGCGCGAGGGGGCAATGAGTGCCACAATTGTCTGGTGCCTGAGGTAGTCACCGGGTAGTCAGGCAACGAGGTATAGCTTACAATCAGGATAGCTTAATTACACGAGGGGACTAATTACAGGTGGCATCATGAAATGAGTGCGACCCAAATAACTATCTGGATTCAACAAAAAACAAGTAAATAATTGAAAAACTGTGAACACCTTTGGCATTTATGCTTTTTTATTGTTGTGGGCCACTTGTGGCAGCCAAGGATCCTCTGAAGGCATCTCTCCACCAATATCTGCAGCGGGTGCGTCAGGATTCCCGACACTGAATTTCACAAAGACCTGCTTTTTCTTGGCCTTGGTCACAAACGACCGAAGGAGCAAGTCTGCCCCAACACGATCGGATTGGATAATGGGATTATAAAGGTCCAAGCTTGAAGAATGCTGCCAAAGCATGGAGGGATTATGAGGGATTACTACGCGGCTATGCGATTGCAAAATTACATTTCAGTAACCACGCAGCAGTAAGCGTCACCTACTGAGCCAAATCTTCAGCCTAATGAGCCTCTTTAGCCGTCAGGAACTCCGGTGTTCTGGGGGATCATGATCTCAATCTCTAAATTCACAACGGATAGCAGAACATGGCAGAACCTATGTCCACTGTCACTATGGGACAGGTTGGGCAGGACATGATTGGCATCATCTCATCCAGCTCCCGGATGGAGATCACAACTCGCCAGCTCCAACTTGCATTTTGAATCTGCAGTGCGAGACCATCTCTAAGACTCTAAGACTAGGACCATGATCATTGTATCAGGCTTCTTCTTGGATCCAGCTTCCACCTCTCGTGCTAAGAACTCAATCTTGCCGCAGTCCTCGGCTTCGAAAACATCATGGCTCCGGTTCAACACCCTAAGTTGGGACACATTTGATTGATTTCACAATTATGGATTAGCAAAACGATGATTGGCCCATATTGGCCTCATAGTTGAGTAACAATATATAACAAAAACAATCACCGGTTTGCCGTAAAATTTTGCAAGTGAAGGTCCAAAGGCGACAGTTGCCAAGCATGGTAAGCCTTACCAACATGGCAAGTGGGTAAACAGCCCTTCTGCATTCTGCATGACCATCACATTGAAAGCGTTGTGCAAACATATGCAAACATCAAGCCCCAGAGCCTTGGCTGTGGCGACACAAGTTGAACATCCCAAAGGCCCAGCTCGGCTATTGAAAGACATAGTGCACAAACCCAGCGCCTACAGCCTACGATCATTGTTATATTTGATGTGCAGTAATTAACTGTTCAAGTGGTTCTTCTCTTTCTTACCTTATCCGGCTGGAACCCACATGGCCCCGCGTGGCCAAGTATCGGAAGTACTGGCACACAAGGACCAGTTGTTGGGGATCTCAACCAAGGCGGCCCCCGGCAAGTGCGCTAACCCTGGCCAGTGAATAAACCCTGGCCTGGTGCTTGGTTCCCACAAGCAGCTGGTGAAACTGTGATCATGTCATCAACCACGAGAAACAAGTGGCATGGCTTGACCATGGCAAATATCGACAAGGATGGGAACACGATCTTCACATACCAGGGTTATTCTACATGAGTCGTTTCTATGTCTCTCTCTCTCTCTCTCCTTATGTGTGTATAAGGAGAAATATGTATATGTATATATATATATGTGTGTGTGTATATTTATGTGTATATATATAAATGTATGTATACATATGTATATATATAATATATATATATATATCTGATGGTTTCTGTGGGGCCACTTCTTTGGGGACGTATGTGGCACGGCAGGTCGTGAATCGTCCCTTCTTGGGCACTCAAGCAACCAAGACCGACAAAACAACTAGAGCAGTAAAGCAGCATCATGCATATTTGTTGTCCCAGTTGCATGAACTTCTTAAGGTGTTGCCTGTTGCAAGAACATTTGGGTATTTCATGGGCATCACCTAGTGAACATGGACGTCTACCGGAGCTGAATTGTCGTATCTCTCAACCACCCTGCCCTGGCGATCTTCAAACGGCACTGATAGGTTCAAACAGCCAAGATCAACGCTGCAATTCCATACCGGAATCTGTATGAACATGTTTTTCGGCCGAAGCCCAAACCGTTTCAGTGCCAAACAGCAACTGCATGCCGGCCACACGCAGCCGGTCCGGCCGTTGGGACTTCGGCTCGTAGATGTCTTCGCCGTACTTCTTCTCTGCATCGGCCTGGTCGCATCCGGTCTGCATCGGAGTTCATCGGAGTTCAACACATTACATGACATGACGTGTTTGTTTCCAAGATGTTGAGCATCCAACAGGTATCCGTCGTTTGTCCTTCAATTTCGGCCGTGTGTCCATACCAGCGCTGCTGATTTGTCTTCTTTCTCCCTCTCTCTATCTCTCTGTGTCTGTCACGCTGACCTGCCTTTGTAATCTTGGTTCCTTGGAGTTGGTTGATCACTTTCTAATCAGCCTGTTGCACCTGCGTTCCTTTGTTCTTGCGATGATGCCTCTGGTGCTGCTTCTTGGCTGGCCACTCGGTGCTGCTGGCTGTCTACTGCTTTGGTTGTTCATGCCGTAGTCAACAACAATCTTCCCGGGTCAGGCCTTGTCCATCTCAAACACCGCGATCCGGCCGCCAGCCGCTAGGCGATTGGTTTCTGCCTCTAAGGCTATCAGCAGCGCATTATGGGCGTCCTGGCCGACACATCTTCTGGTCTACACACCTATGCCGTGAGAAGCGGTGGACATTAAGATATCCAACCACTCAGCACGGGTTCATGGCATCATTTATTCCAAGTGTTCAGACCCATGGCATAGAACCAAAGAGATTCCATTGAGTTCTTCTAACCGTTTCTTTCTGATTTTCGCGTATATGCACATTGAGCCTATCCCATTACCAGTATATATCAGTGGATGATGATGATTATTATGATGATGATGATCAACAATAGTGATGATTGTTTGTCGACTGTTACAGGTATATAATAGGACAAACCCACATATATGCACACATTATCCAAACAATGGACATATGATGACATATGACATATGATCATAGACTCCCCACCTCTTCTTTCCACTGCACCCCGACACCATTTTATGTCTGGCCTCCTTTGGAAAGGGCTCTCGGGAGGTGCCCTCAAAGGACATCGTGATCTTCGAGCATCCGGGCTCAGTGACCCAAATGGGCTGCAGCTCTCCGCCGCAAGGGCCCGGTGAGAGGCCTTGAGGGCAAAAAGTATGTATAGCGTCTAAAGGTGAAAAAAAAAAAAACACATTAAAAAAACAACAAACATGGCTTGAAAGTCAATGCTACCAAAATGCCACTGTAACATCACCCCTTTGGTCATTGGCTCAGACGTTCACACCACAATGGAGTGACCTTGCTGAAGCAGTGGCTGTTGATCCAACTAGAGATGCACTGATGGTTCATTCGACTAGGACTTAGAGATAGGCCCTTGGAGAAAGTCGTGTGGCTAGTGTGGTGGCATTCTCATGGAGGGGGTCACCTCAAAACATCCTCAACATGATCAATCATCCAAAGAGTTGGACTTGTTAAGTTTTCAGGTACGATTTGGGCGCAAAACTCTACACCCATGTGACCCCTTGGTGCATCCCTGGCCTAGCACTCTCGCGGCTGCACCACGCACAAGCAAGGATGCGGTGGCCAGTGCTGGTGGAGGTGGTGGCGGCAAGGGTCGTGGCTTCTTGGCTTTGGGCTTCGCTTCAGCCTGCAAACAAAGATCAACAGGTGGTCAAGAGGGCAAAAGTTGTAATCTGTGATCATCGCAAACCATGCTGACAACATGATGACACGTGACCGCAAAGGTTTATTTGTCCAGTGCTGATTGAACACCCATTCAGCCTTCGGGTGTTCAATCGTCCACCCACCAAAAGTGAAGTTTGAACCACGAACGGAAGGTTGAGGTACAACTATTCTGTCTTGTTATGGCTGTTATGGTGTCAATTCCAGAATCCAAAGGGCAGCCTGCAAAACACACCATGATCTAGAAGAACAAGTACAAATCCGGAAGGCAACACAACATGGAGCAGGCTGCCCAGGCAGCTGCTAAGGGTATGCAGGATAAAAACTGCTCCAATTGAAGCAACAATAACAAAGAGGATGGAGTCAACCCTTCAGTTGCAGCGTAAAGTCTAAAAAGGCCATGGTTGGCATACGCCTTTAACGTTTGCCATTCATTCGTTTTTTTCTGTGTTTCTTATGTTTTCTGAAGGGGAAGAGCTTTCAGCTTTCAGTTTTCAATTGAGATCTTCAAATTCTATAAACAACGGTTGCGGAACTATGCTGCAGAACTGCTCTAAAATAGAGAGAAAGGATTATGTGGTTGCCCGATATGTTCGTAAGCTGCCTCCAAGGAACACATGTTCATCTATGGTTCATGAGTTACCAGCACAAAGTTCTTGGAAATGACAGAATTTTGAGCTATATGGTGCAGGGTTCTTACTCATCAAGCCGCAATAACCGAAGAACTCCTAACACCTGGCACCGATCCTGCGGACCGTCTGGTCACGTCATGGATCCTTATGAAGCTCTGGTCACTCTGGCCTCATTAAAGCGAGGCAAGCGCCCTGAGATTCCAATAGCAATTGCATTCGTGGCTTTGCCGAAGCAACTGTTGTTAGACTGGACTAGGAACTTGAGAGAAAAACTGTTTAAACACCCTCTGAAAGGTCTTGGAAGCCTTCGGTCGTGGAAGCAAGTGCACCTCCCGCAAATGGAGCAAAGTACCAACCCCAATATACCCCAACACTCCAGCAGCCAGCCCAGCAGTCCTCTGGATATCCTTCAGCCATGCCGTGACAGCCTTGGTCACACACACACACAAACTGGAAATCCTGAACGCTACGAGGGGCTCCTGGCATCGCATGGACGCTACTAGGGGCTCTCCTGGCCATGCTACTAGTGGCCGGACGCTCGGTGGAGACTTCAGCTTCTACCCATAGTACTTCGACCGCGTGCTGCGGCAGCGAGACTTCGGTTCAATGTGGGAAGCAATTCCTTCAGAGAGGCCGAGCAAAGAACGGCCGAGCGCCACTTTCCCCAGGGTCAACTCATAGACGTGAGGGTCCTGCATCTTAAAACATATAAGGAAATATATGGCTCTGAGACATGGCACCTGGTCAACACTCTAAAAGGTATACCGTACCTGTTCGCCATGTACAGTATGTGCACTGTTCCTCAGCATCGCAATTCAATCTCCACCTAATTGGCACAACCCCCCCAAATGCTTGCACTCTTGCAACACAAGCTGTAGGTGCCTAACTATCAATCTATCGGTACACATGATTCGAATTCATCTCTCTCGCTCTTCATTGCCAATATAATCCAATGTTCATCGACAATTGAGATTCTTCCAGATCAAGGGTTTCTCCCCCAAACAACGAGAACCAGGTGTACACTCGGCAAGTCTCCGGACTTAGCACGCCCATGGGCAAATACATCCGGGTCTGAATTTGCCTCTTATCCGGGTGGCGATGGGGGGCGCGTCACATCATGGAAATCCCATCATTTGCAGTCAGCAATCTTTCACACAACCTAGTGCGGGTGCTCATGTGGGCACCTCATGGCACCTCCAAAAAAGAACCTTCAGCCCAGCGACGCGTCTGAAAGTGCTGGACCAACGTCCGAAAGCGGTGAACAGTTCGGACCAACGCCGTGGCGACGAGGAAATTGCTGTATCCTGGCTGAACCTGTAAGATCCCTTGATTGATGTCATAAAAAAAACTTCACAGTTGCTCAAGTAGACTTGGTAGTGAAACATGTTTCACTGGCTCTCCAAGTCTGTGCCCCACATGAGAACAAATCTAGGGAACTTGTCCGGGGTTGCGGGCACTGGCTTTGCAAACGGCTCCTGTGATGGAGGAAGCAACTGCTGAATTGTGGTCTGAAGCGATGACATCTTATGCTCTCAAATGACTCAAATGAGGAAAGTCAAAGCCTTTGTAGCCAAAACTTGAACTGCCAAAGCAGGAGTAGAAGAATAAGCAATCGTTGGCGTACACGCTACCATAAGGGTGTCACTTTAGTGTCACCTGTCACTGGGTGGCAACATGTTTGTATGTGTCATTAAAGCAGTTGAAGCATGACACCAACGCAAAACACATTCATAGCCTGGAGAAACTCCAGCGCGTACATACATCACTCCGAAAACGGACCGTGTGTTGCTTCGTTTCGTGATCACCTGGTGCAGTTGAGCGACTGTCTCGATCGCTAAAAGAGAACACACAAAGTCAGCAAAGGTGTTTGGAGCATGATGATCTATAGCATGGTTTAGCTAAATATCCTGATAAACCCGATTTTGGGCATGACAAGTACCGGATAACAAAGGAACTTCAGTCTTTCAAAACCCTCCAAGAAACAAGTGGCCTGAACAAAGCACAAAGCCCTGAATCCATGTTGGCCGGTGTATGCAAACGTCTGGATCTCCGGCTGGAGAAGAAGGACCTCTTGAGGGGCGTGTGCCATCTTCTAATTGCCTTCCTTCCTGGGACCATGCTGAAGTGCACAAGCCCTGAATGCTGGTCGAGCCCTGAGCTGCCACACCACCGAGCTGACCCTGAGCCGATCCGGTTTGAAGGTGTCGAGTTAACCGCCAGAGTTCGAGACTCACGAGTGCGGAAGAGTATGGATTTGAACACCAAAAAGACTACGACTACAAGTGACTACATCCGTTTTGAACAAACAATCGTTTTGAGAGGGACTGGAGGGGAACAAACATGTACTGCGAATTGGTTTCAGTGAACACCTCGACCTTGGGGACTCCTGTCAAAACATCTTCCTACAATGACTGCTTGGCCAGCTAATTGTTCATTGTATAAAAATTTGACAGAGAGGAAAAGGTTTTTGCATTTTATAGGGACTCATTGATGGGTGATGTCAAAACGGTTTGTAGAAAACTCCCAGCCTTCAGTAAGCAACTAGGAAACCCGTAGTAGAACACCTATCCTGAGCACCTACAGAGTACCACCTGTAGACCCTGTCTTTGTCCATCGATCCTGCGTGACGAGTTCCACCTGTAGAGGCATTAATGACTTTTAATTCTACTACTAGTAGTAAGAATGCTCCTAGTAGCGATGCCAGGAGCCCCTAGTAGCGTCCTTCAAATGTAAAAACACTTTAGAAGCATCTTGAATCTTAACAATTTAGCGATGGCCTGCAACCGAATAGCATGGAACATTCTCACTCAGTGAAGTTCGTTTCTACTGTTTCTCATGCGTCTGTGCCACCCAGTCATCCTCACATATCCTATCGAATCATTCCTCAACTTCTGGCTGCTTCCGGAAAGGACTTGTCCTCCACGGCGCAAACCTGTGACCGAGGAGCGCGTGGCGAACTTCTTCAACTCCTCCGCGCTCAAGGCCTTGCCGTCCGTCCCCGAAAAGCGCTCCACCTGCGCAGCTCGGTGCTTTTTGGGAAGACAAGTTTCATGGAGGATCTCTCTCTCTCTCTAGTAGCAAATTCGTTACTAGGAGCAAGGACGCTACTACTAGCAAAGGGGATCGCTACTAGGATTCCCTCCTTCCTTCCTTCCTTCCTTCCTTCCTTCCTTCCCTCCGCCCTCTATACAAGTTCAGCACTCTGTTGAAAGCGAGATGATGGTCTGGCGTTTGCCAAACAAGAGTTTCAGCCAGCTGCTTCATTAGTGGAGCAACCACCGGGTTGCAAAACGAAAAAGTTTCAGTAACTGCGCACTATTGAAAAAGGCAAAAGCACACACCGGCGCAACTAGGCGAGAAGACTCTCAGTGGTCAAAGAAAACAAACAACAAAAGTCAAGATTTCCCCGGCCCTCCCAACTCACATCCAGCCTGCACTCCTTCTCGTCTAAACTCTTCCTGGCAGCGGCGGTTTGGTTCAGCTCGCTGAAACGATACGACCACAACCTCCGCCGGCACCGTTTTTGCTCTTTGATCTCTCACATTAACCTAACCAAGCTCGAAGACGATGATCAAATAGTCATACCATACCCTCCTCCCCTCAAAACCTTAGTCTTGTGGGTGAAAAACTCCATTATATTATGTGTTTTTTGTCTTTTTAAAGGCACCCGCCAACTTCCTGAAGACACGAAGAGACCGTCCTGTGCCGATTCCCAACGCTGTGGACTGCGATCCAAGTTCACCACCAGGATC